GCGAGCCGCCCACCCCAAAACACCATAGTAAATGCGATAAATTACAGCTTTATATCTCAACAACCATGGCCTATAGGTATTTTTCATTTTAGCATAATGCTTTTGAGGCGATATCTAGCCTCTTTAGTGAGCTTGAAGAAATTCTATGACTTCGTTATTGAGATATATATATTTGTAGCTCATGGCAGTGTAATTTTCAGTAATTTTTGAAATGATGATAATATGGTTTTTTGATTTCCTTGAAATTGAAACATAGTGCTAATAGGTCTTACCAATAGCCATTGGTAAGAAATGGAATATGACTAAGACGTGGTTGTTGAGATACAAGTGTAGAATATATCGCATTTACTATGGTGTTTTGGGGTGGGCGGCTCGCTTGGGTGGGCGGCTCGCATGTGAAATACGTTAATGCATACCGACATTGGATTTAACGCCATATTCCTCAGGCAACAGGCAACCACATCATCTCTGGCCTGCTATTTCCAATGCTAAGTCAAAGGCCAAATCAGACACACCACGGCGAAGATTGACAGCTACAGCGGCTCTCGACTCAGGTGGATTGCAAAACCTGGAATCCTGCGTTAATTGCTGCACTGGCGTTCAAGTCTCGAACAATGCAGCGCCTCCCCCCAAATAGACGGCGCCACAAAGTGCCGCCAGAGCAGAGGAAGAGAGTCTCAAAAGCGTAGGGCCTCAACTGTCCTCATGCGACGATGTGTCATGCGTTTAACACTGAAAGGCAGATGCAATCCATGCAACGTGCGGCGCATGAAGTGCACTGGCGATAACCCATGCAAGGCATGCCAGTCCGCCGGGCGGAATTGTGTATACCCGTCGGTTTCAGAGGAGAAGGTAACGATCTCACGAGCAACATATCATGACCTACAGGCAAATGAGGCTTTCCTGCGAGCATGCATCAGCATAGTCGTGCCGTCCGCTCAAGAACGCATGGAGCTAATGAGGCGAGTACGCAAAACCCACGCGAGCAGCACACCCCAAGCCTGTAACTCTGAGACGGAGGTGAAGGTCACCCCACAAACGCCATACATGGAAGAATTGGTAGATGGCGGTCGTTTTCTGGCTGATCCGGATGGCCAGAGAAGGTTCATTGGGAATGCCTCTGGCGCTGCGTTTTTGGATCAACTCCGGGAATTCGCAAGTACTGTCCTGCCGCTCGTCTGTGGAAAGAATGGTAGTCTTCGCCATTCGCAGATCCAAGACTCCTTTTCAAATCTACTGGGCAGATATCAGACTCATGACTCTCGACCTTTGCAGTTGCCTGTAGTGGACCCATATTACTTGCCACCGATCGAGGAGACCCAGAGATGCCTGTCCTTGTTGTCCAAGTCCACGGGGGATATGGAAGACGTGAGTATATTCTACTGGGGCCCCTTGACCGATACCATGAGACAGGTCTATTCCAAAGGTACCGCCAATACATACGGTGAATATAGTATTCAATTAGCAACGCTCAATGCTGCTCTTGCCCTTGCCGCACAGCAGTCACCCGCTGGAGCACTGGGTTCGGAGACCGGGGACACTTATTTTGCTCATGCTCGATTTCTACTTGGGTCACCACTGGACTCGGCAACTCGCATGCATATTCCTTGTCTTGCCATGATGGGCTATTATCTTTTGGGTGCGAACAGACGCGATGCAGCCTACTCTTACATCCGGCTAGCTGGGCATATTGCCGTTACATATGGCTATTATCAAAGTTGGATGACGAGCGAAACGGAAAGAAGGGAATTTTGGACAATTTATGCGCTAGACAGGTCCGTATCCAGAGGTGCCCGGACATCAGTTCACCCATTGCTGACTATGTATTGCTTAGATTTCTGAGCTGCCTCCTGGGACGACCAGCGATGATCTCAGATGAGAATATAAGTGTTGACTTCCCTCAAGATGTGCCGTGCGTGACGTTCAATATGGAATGCATTTCTGTTCTTACTTACACGGAAACAGAGGTCTTCCAAGAGCTGCAGGGCTGAAACTGCACGTAAAGCTCGCTCGAATTCTCGGACGTGCCGTTGAGAAGATCTATGGATACGGTGGCCGCGGCTCGAAACACCCTGGCTTAGCCCATATATACCACTTCTTGGATGAGCTGGAAGATTGGCGCTCTCAAATGCACTCCTCTCTTAGTATCGATCGTTGCTTGGGACCAGAACCGCCCCGGGACCTTCTTACGCTGCATATGGCATACAATCAGGTATGTACCTCATGGGAGCTGAGCCGAAGCTTGCCTTTCGTCACGAAGTGATACTCACGTTCTCCTTTTCGACAACAAGGCAAGAATACTTGTCACGCGGCAGGTCACGTTCTCAGCCGTTCGGCAGAACGTGGCGCGGAGTTTCCTAGCCAACTCCGCCAAATTCGAGCCACCGGACCACCATCTGCTCAAAATTTGCACAGAAGCGGCGTCTGAAAACGTGAAATTGACAAACCGGCTCTTCAAAAGTGTGAGCTCGGGGTCCTCAGCGTTTGGGATGATCGATTATCATACCGCGTTCAATGCTGCGATAATCCTCGAACTTGGTTTTCTATGCCGAGACAGCAGTGCTTCGATGTATGATAGGCCGCAGATCGGCCATGTCCTCGACGTTCTTCAGCATGCTGGCTTCAATGGCAATGAATTCGCTCGGGATTGCTCTACTGTGCTATCGGACTTTCGTCACCTGTGTGAAAGGTTGATGCAGGAGATGTCGCGGAGGATACCAGCAAACATCAGCTTTGCGCCGTTGGCATCGAGTGCTCAAACCTCCGGTAACTTGCCCCCTGGTGCTTTTGAAATACCGGCTTCCTCGGTTATGGGCTTTGCACTGGATGAGTGTCTGAGTCCAGGACTGGATCTCGACAGAGTCCTGGAAGAATTCAGCAGCTGGTTGGAGGAAGAGCCTTTTTGACGCCCGTGTTGAACGTGACAACCGAAAAAGGTTTTTTATAGCACGAAGCCCCGGCCTTTCCATTTCTGAGCCAAATATCTGCTGTGTCTTCAACGAAGGGCGCAGTTACCAGCAGCACACATCAATAGAGTCACAATTACATGCGGATTCGACGTGTTGATTGAATTCTGCAGGTCTAACAACCTGAAAAATCGAAAACTCCTAGACATTTTTATCTCTTATTTGAGGCAATACCTCACCAGCACGATCTTGAAGAAGCGCCGACCCGATCATGCACCCCGGCCAACTAAACCAAGCTTTGCTTGTACATTGTCCTGTATATCCATCCACAGCTTCGGGAAACAGCCCGTCATAAAAGCTTGTTTCTTTAATCCTCCACCATGCCATGGCCCGCGCATCCGTATCTCCTTTTATCTCTGCAAACACAAGCTCCTGGTAATAACCCAACGGCCAGGGGCCGCGAGTGTGCACACTACCAAGCCCACCAAAGGGTCCAGTCCCATAAAAGCCGCCATCATTCGCAGGAGACAACGCAAAATGCAAAGTCTGGGTCCAGACGTTCTCCAACTCAGGGGTCTTACAGAACCCCCAGTCTTTGGCAAGCACTGTCGGAATGTCATTTGCATCGTGGTAAAAAACGTGTTCCTGCGATCCGTCGGTGAGGTAAGCGAACATGGGCGTTTGGGTCTTTGGGTTGGTGGCCACGAAATGCTTAATCGTGGCCTCGTGGGTCCTGTTGGCGAGGTTGTCGAGTCGTGATGCTTGAAGACTATCGGTGTCGCCTAGATCTTTCAAAAGCCCTGCGAGACGGCGGAAAACGTACCACACAAGGACGTGGCTGGAGAAATGGAAGGGGAATAACACGGGGTCGTCGCCCGGTGTTTCATCCGTGGGATATAATCCGCACTGCGAGTCTCTCTTTTCACAAAGGATAGCAACAATATCTGGAATCGTCGATTCATGGAGTATGTCTCTGGCGAATTCTTTCAGGTCCGGGATAAATCCCAACGCATCGCACAGTTCAATGAGAGGATAGCATTGCTGGTCCAGCTGGAAGATCGGACCATCTTTGGGAACTCCAGTTGCCAAGTATGACCGGTGCCAAAGGCGCTGTGGGCGCTCGGCATCACGGAAGACCCAGTTTAGGTGTCCTTTAACCACTGTGCGGATCTTGTCTTGGTATAACCTGGCAGTGGAAGGATCGGCGATACGTCCTATATGGCGAAAGACCTCCATCAAGAACCGTACCTGCCAGCTGCTTCTCATTAGTCGAGATCAACAACATTATGGGGGATTTGGAGCGTACTAGTTATCCCTGTTCCATCCTAGGGGCAAGGCAACATGGTCCGTTATGACACAGGTGCTGGACTCAGATATTGGAATCGTGCAGTTACCCAGCAAGTACTGCAGATTGCCATGGATGATGTTCAAAGCTACCGGATCTTGCAGAGTCCACGTGGAGTTTTGGAGATCATGATCACCGGGACGATTTCTAGACGAAGGAACTTGAGATCGGAGCCGTAATGACAGTGTCAATGTGACTGGGACACCCGGTATGAGATTTACACGAGCTGTTGCCTTACACTGAACGGGTTCATCGCGCAACGTCTGCCAGTCATCGTAAAATGTCATCCCCTCGAAGTCTGCCAAGTCGGCGCTAAAGATGCCCTCGGCCCTTGCCTCAAGATTGGGGTTGTGCAGAGTAAAGCTGCTCCCATCCTTTGCCACTTGGAACAGATTCAAAGACTCTGGGAGAGGAATCGGTCCGCCCTCGGTCAATTGACCGTACGAAGCACGGTTCAGACTCATCCCTAAATCCAGTTGAACTGGAGTAGAGACGGTTGAGGACTTCAGCGTTGTTAAGACTGTCGTTTGCTTGACCGTACGATCAGCTTCAACCGAGACGGTTCTCTGAACTTGGACGCCATCCTGTGTGTGATAGCTCAAAATCATCCTATCAGGGTGCCTGGTAGTTACTGTTGCGTCGGCAGCCTCTCCCTGAATTTGCAGCCCGAAGCCCGGCTTGCTTCGCTCGACATAGTTCAAGAGCTGGGTGCGATACGAGCGCACATACGCTGCATCATAAAAGCGACTTCCATCGAACTGTTTGAATGGTGAAAGCAGCACCACTCCGTGCTTTGGATGATAGACTCCCAGTTGCAAGAACTACAATCTTGTTAGACCGGCCTGGTATCCGTCGCTGGGGAGATTTACCGTTCCGAATTGATCGAACGACATCATGGTGCCATCGCAACCCCAGTCAATCGTTTTGAGCCTTCTCGCAGGCCTGTTCAAATCGTCAAATTCGATTAAGCCCATCTTTTCGTATCGTTTTAATATCTTATGAGCCGACTGTGACCGTATACCGCACCTTTTGAAGTGATGGTTCACGTACTTGCACCAATGACAAACATACAGCGAGAGCGAGATGGGATATATACCTCAGTCGGGTTCTTTGAGCGTGTGTCCCACCTACGGAGGTCACCGTGCCGAAGTCCAACTCGCGTCTTTTGATACCAGTTTGCATCTGGTTGATATCACATGCTGCACGGGTACTGTACCCTGTCCTCCAAGCGCGTGGGGAGCAAACCTTACTAAATGGTTAGCGTGCGCTGATTAAGCTTTTGATGCCAGGGTACCGTACCCGGTGGAAAAGCCCAGTGGGTAACGTTACCCTCGCGGAAGGCAAAATCTGGGGGAATTCTGTCCGAGCCGCTGTTAATGCCTGGTTTTCATCTCCAAGAACACGACACGAAATGCGGGGTCTCCACATCGGACCCGAAAGATTATGCTCCCGGAACAGCTAGGTTGCAGGGAAGACAAGGTATATGATGAGGTCCTCATCCTGATATCTCCAGTCCCCTCCTACACATCTCCCACTTCAAATGACAGTGCTTTCCTGCTGCAGAGCAACAATGGATCATTACATCGAGCAAAAATCAACTGCTGTCATCCATGAGGATGTCAGGTCAAAGACAGATGTGGAACGACCAGTGGTCAGGGAAAACCTCCCCGACGGATACTATCCGCAGACGGACGAGGAGAGACGCATGAGCCGTGCACTGAACCGAAAGTTGGACTTTATTCTGCTTCCATCGCTTTCCCTGCTGTACATGTTCAACGGCCTGGATCGAGGCAATATTGGCAATGCTAAAACTCAAGGTGGGGAGTCCCCATCAAGATTCTTTGTTTTGAGCGCATCCCTTTCCCCCATCTGCCTCGTATTTAATCAGGAGACGAATACTTATAGAATGCTGCTCCCAGGCTTCGCAAAAGACATCGGTGCAACTAGCAATGACGTCAATGATGCAGTATCACTATTCTTTATCACGTTTGTCATATTTCAACCCATTTCTGCAGCCGCTGGAAGGCTTCTCGGCCCCAAGTACTGGATGCCTTTCCTCATGGTTGGTCCATAACCTCATACCTCCTCTTCCTATGAGACTGCGACTAACATTACTTCACTTAAGGCTGGCTGGGGAGCCCTGACTTTGGCCAACGCTTTCATTCATGGTCGAGGTCAGTGGAAACGTTTTTTTGAGGCGCAAAACCGCAGCCCGCTCACCACCCAACAGGCCAGCTAATCGCTATCCGACTCTTGATCGGCGTGTTCGAGGCCGGGTTCTATCCAAGTGTGCTCTTCTATTTGTCTACTTTTTACCCTCGGTTTGATCTAGCGACTCGCATTGGTATCTTCTACGGCCAATACGCTATTGCCGGCGCCTTCTCTGGTGCAATATGTATGTTTTTGAAGCCACGCTTGTCACTTTTGGGACCGCAAAACTGACATGCACAAGCATACGGCGTCTTCAAACTCAAGGGCAACCTCCATAATTGGCAATATTTGTTCATCATCGAGGGCTCGATGACCATTCTTGTCGCCCTCATTGCTCTTCTTGTGCTACCCAAGCAGCCCGGATCCGCTTGGTTTCTCAGTCAAGAGGAGAATAAATTCGCCGCTGAACGGATGCGCATCGACAACGAGAGATATGTCCTGAGCGAGTACGGAGCGACCCATACCGAGGGGTTCTCACAGCGATTGACTATGCGGGATGTCATCGAGACGGCAAAGGATTGGAAACTTTGGACTGTTTTGATTTGCAACATCTGCGCGAGTCTTCCGAGCCAAGCGTTTGGTATCTTTCTTCCCGTCGTCGTGGAGGGAATGGGGTTCAGCTCGAACCAGGCCAATCTGGTTAGTAATACCAATTGCTGTTATCACCTTCACCTGATCATACTGACTGCAATTCAGATGTCTGTACCTCCATTTGTGTGCGGCGCCGTCGGTTTGTATCTTACAACCTTTAGCTCCGATCATTTGTGAGTGCCCAACACTTCGTTTGTCTTCAATTCTGACCGAGACTTCAGCATGGAAAGAGGCTACCATGCCATTGCAGGGCTAGTAACCAGCCTGGTGGGTTTGATCGTCGTCATCACTGTGACTCAAAACATCAGCCGCTATGTGGCTCTGTGTATCCTTCTCGCTGGCAGCTACATCACCCCGTCTTTAACTATGGCATGGCTCAGCGGCAATACTCCAGGTAAGCCCAAAATCTCTGCCCAGTACTGGCGACCCTGTAGTCTGAGTCCTGACCGTATCTCCAGCACCCGGAAAACGTGCCCTGGTAATTGGAGTGAACGGATTCGGCAATTTAGCAGGCGTGATTGGCGCCCAGCTCTTCCGCTCAAAGTATGGCCCGACATACCTCGTTCCGCTCCATGCAACACTCGGCTTCATTGCATTTGCTCTGCTTGGGTATACGGCGTATCGCTTCACACTTCGTGCTGTCAATCACCATCGGGCCCGCAAGACCTCGACATGGTCGGAGCTGGACTTTGAAAATGAGCGTGTTGATGAGACTCGGCTGGGAGACAAGAAGTACACTTTCGTATATAGTCTTTGAGTAAAGTGAAGAGTGTATTCGCTGTTGTATAATCTATGAAAGATCGAAACTGGCAGTGGACACAGGGAAATGACCAATCAAAATTGTGACATTCATGGAGCAAGATTTTACTCAATATGAAACAGATCGATCCCTCAATATTCGTGAACCTAATTTAGCTTCCATTGCATACATGTGCTGTGCAGGGCTATGCAATTCGCTGAGTTTGCCGCTCTTCGCCGAGAGAAGATGGCGTAAACCGGCCATGCTGCTTACATACACATGTACAGTCGGTGCTGTTAGTTACTCGTTGCTAACTAGTCACTGTGAGTAAGTGCGGAACAGGGGCAATCGCCTATTGATGATGATGATGAATTCATTTGCCCGATGTAGCTCGCTCTAATACATGCTGCTATGCGGGAGTGCTGTCAGGCCTGCCCACAGCTTACAGGTGGTCGCCAGCCCACTGAATGACTGTTTCATTGGGATCGCCGGGCGAGCCCCTTGATTGGTCGTCCATGAACTTGCAAGACAAAATGCGGTTACTTAAAAACAATACGCAAAGGAAATCCAAAACGAACATCACCCGGATACAGGCCTGTGGTTTTAATTAAGCATTAGTGAATGGTAGTCGGTGGAACATGGATGTTTTTTTGCATTGGCCGTTAACTATCAATTCTTAGCTGTTAGTCCAGAGCTATACGTCCATGGCGCTTGCTTCGAGTGAGACATGTCGGCTGATCCAGGTCGAGACAGGAAGAAAATCCGCTCAGAGTCGAAATGATACCTTTCAAGGCCCCGGGAAGGCCCGTTTGCACTCCAGAGGCCAGCCAGGCGCCGATGAATTGACAATTAGGGCTCCGAAAGGAATAAATGAATGCGAATATAGGGCATATCCATATTCGCATTCATATTATTCATATCATGCATTTTGCGCGCATTAATAGTTCTTCCGTTCGCCGGTTTTTGTATTACCGAAATACACGTTTCCACTAGTCAACTTGTTTCAGCTGCCATCACGGGCTCGGCCAAGTAGAAGTAGGAAATATCTCCCATGCAAACCATGTTCTAGAAGTGTATACCCTATATCGTAAGGCTCGGTAATGTCTACGTATTTTGCGCGATTACTTTCAGCGGTTTTTTATAGGTACGTGTCTAGTTTTGGTGACCAGAAAGGTTGCTATAGAAAGCCGAGCGAAAATATATATATTTCCACGGCGACTTTCCACTTTGATGGGATTTCACCAGGCTAAAGCACAGCTGAACTTTCCCCATCATTGACTACTTCATTCCCGACCCGCCAGGCTATCAAGTATTGTCGAGTGATACTAAAGGTGTGCCATGCCTCGCTCCCAGGTACTGCTTGGACTACTGACACTGGACAAATACAGAATGACATCCTCACCTAATCCATTTGTGCGAAAGACGCGTGGTCTTCCGCGCCGCGACTACAATGCTCTGAACAATGGCACACTCTCCCTACTCCCTGAGCCATGGGAAGGAAACATCCGTGAAATGGAAAGCCCCTGCTCGCCAACACCATCCGAGTATACAGGAGCCGAAGGGAAGTCCCCACCCGTGCGGTCGTTACGAGTTCCCAGCTCTTCGCCCGCTCCGCTAGATCCCGCGCTATCAGAATTAGCTAGCAGTCAGAGTAGCCCACCGCCTTACAAAAGACGCAAAGTCAAGTCATATTCTAGCTGGACCCTTGAGAATTTCTCACAGAACTAGACAACACCTGGCGTCGAAAGGACGGGCCACCAAAGAAAGATCGGCTCTTAGTCTGTAGGCAATGCAGTTGGTCGTCCAGGGACTCGGCACGCTATGGCTCCACTTCGAATTTGTTGGCTCATCTCTAGACCAAACACCGCATTAGGTCTGGATCAGACATCACGTCATCGTCAAATATCGAAACGACCCTCGACCATTTTTTGAGGCCCACAAGGGAAAGGGGCGGGCCTAGAACAAATGTTGATACAATGGGTCGTTCAGACGAGACAGCCTTTTACGGCGGTGGAGCATCCGACTTTTAGGGCACTTTTTGCAGCGACAAGTGCTACATTGCCCATCAAGACGGCCGACACTCTCTTCAACAGAATCAAGGAGGATTTTGGGAAAAACAGGAATTGTGTGAAACAAAAACTAGCCAGCAGTAGTCGCACACTTGCGTTGTCTCTCGATGTTTGGACTTCAGAAAATCAGATAGCGATCATGGGCATCATGGGTCATTGGATCTCACCCGAGTTTGAGAAACGGGAAGAGCTTCTTGAGTTCACGGACATATGTGGACCGCACTCTGGGGAGAATCTTGCGGAAATCGTGATGAGAATGCTCGAGGAACTAGACGTCGCGCCAAAGCTTCTCACAATCACGGGGGATAATGCTGCCAACAACGGAACCCTTTGCGATAGCCTTCATGCGGAGCTCCTCAAGAAATATGACGATAAAAATGACCAATTTCGCATCAGACCTCTTATGCGGTTCCGTGGACGGCAAAGCTTCATTCCTTGTCTTGCCCATGTGATCAATATAATTTGCAGGGACGTACTGGCTTCCTTGAGGGCCGGCTCAGCTCGGGAGGCAAAGACTATACTGGATGAAATGGCCACGCAAAGCAGCCCAACGTTCACCTCTGCTCACAGCACAAAAGGAGCAATCATGAAGATCCGGCTGCTGATTCAATGGATTGCCCGCCGCCCGCAGCGCCGCCAAAGTTGGAAAGAAGTGTCACCAGGCAAGCAAGTCGGCTACGATGTTGACACCCGATGGAACTCAACCTACATCATGATAGCAGACGCCCTTCGGCTACAGAAGGAACTCGGACAATTTGTTCGGATGCATCCAGAAGTTCACGCAATTCAGCTTACCGATAACGAATGGTCCATTCTTCAACAAGTAGCGAAAGTTCTTAAGCCATTTTGGGATCACACGAACTCGGTGTCAAAGTTCTTGTCCGATGATCATTGAGAGTTTGCCCATCTATTGGGGTCTAGATGACCTGCTTGACGATGTCCAAAAAGCCGAAGGTGATTTTGAAGATGTGGATACCGAGATCCGAGATGCGGTGGAAAGAGGAATCCAAAAGATGAACAAATTTGCAAGGAAGATGGACACTAATCTTCTATACTACGTGGCTTCCGTCCTTGACTCGCGTATTAAATCGTCTTTGATTGGATCGCAGATGAGCGCGCAAGATGCGGGGCTGATCATCTCTCAGGTACGGGAATTCTTAAAGGAGTATCTATACGAGCCGTCTATGTCATGTGTAGTGGACCGCCCGCCGGGTATGTCCGAGACTATGTGGAGGACGTTGCGGAAAGTACAGCCATCACAGCGGACGCTTCTTTCAGACATTGATAGATATCTAGACGCGCCACCAGTGAGTTGGTCCCACCATATGATTGATGATGCAGACGAAGAATGGGTTCTCAAATGGTGGAAGGCGAATGTATTTAGTTTTCCACTCATGGCAAAGGCAGCTCGGGATTACCTGCCAATTCCATCAGCAGAAGTAGGAATTGAACGCGAGTTCAGCAATGCAGAGATGTATTGGGGCTCAGGAAACACTGTCTGAATGCGGAGACTATGCGATGGCTTATGATGCTATTAAAGGGACAGTATCAAAAATAGCTTTCCAGGCTAGTGATATTCAAATTCAAGGGGACTTAGTATCTCAAGAGTGAGAAATTGGGTGTAATGGAGTCCAAGCCCATGAATTATGGTTGTTGTATTGAGATGTAACAACACGAACGGTAATGTATTCTCTCTCGGTATATGAGTAAATATGAATTATTCATATATTCATGAATTTTGCGAATATGAATAAGAGACATATTCATATTCATATTATGCAATTCATATAATTCATATTCGCGATTATTCATGAATATTCATGAATATTCATATTCCTTTCGGAGCCCTACAGGACGGTTGTTGGTTTGGGTGGCTAGATGCAACAGGTTGCTATTCTGGAACTTGATCTTGTATTTCCAGATGCTAGGCTGCAGTCTGAAGTAAGGGTTTGTGCACAATCTAGCGAGGGGGAATATCGCACGCCGTCCAAATGCGCCACAATACCTAGCAAAAGCTCGTTAGAGAGGCTTCTGATATTTGGCTGCGATTGATTTGCTTACCAATATTTTCGGTAACAAAGACAAGTATACAGGCCATGGTTAGACAGCAGGCTGGAATACGCGACAAATACAATGTAGGTAAGGATGAGGGCAGATGCGGGTGAGGTGAGGAAGTTCATTCGAAGAGGCGTGGAGGCCTTTATATAGTCGTCTCAGCTAAATTCTCTGGGGAGCTAGGAGTGTACTCCGTCGCTTCGCTGAGGGATGTAGCAATCACAGCGGCATCGATGCCTTGACAACACAGTTTAGGCCCGGCCAGAGGATTTCTGGGCCCTAGGAACCTCAACTCCTGGGAAGCCCCAAACGGGTCCTAGGAGTATCTCAATGGCTCCCGGGAAATTGGAATATTAGCGTGCGATATTTGTATACCATATACTAGGAGATCAGATCAGCGTGAGAGAAAGTATAGCACGACAGAAGCCACTATAAATATTATGCCAATGGTGGCGACCGTGTTAGTACAGTGCTGCACGAGCGCTACGTCGGTATACATGGCGGCGGCTTAATTGAGAGTGTGACCATGATCATTTTCCCGGAGTTCCATTGTCATCAGGTAGACCTGTGGAACAGTAATGCCTTATTTAGATAAGATCGCCAATAAAGTAAGACAAAATACACTCTACTGTTATGGCGTAGACTCATCATTTATGACGAACTTTTGTGAGGTAATATCCTCGCAAGTGGTACTCTAGTCCACTTGTAGTCGCAGCAGGCATGCGCCTAAACCATTATCCAAAAACAAGCATGATATGAGCACTGATTAGGGGTAGAAAATTCAGGACAGGTCGTAGGAGACAGTCTATGAGGTCCCACAGCCGGATGGCTCTTGGTGGTGTTGTTACAGACATCAACCCACCTTCACGGTGATTTGCTCGAACAGTGATATGCCAGATGTCGTCCGGAGCGCGGTGAGTGTGACAAACACATAGTTGATGCTCAAAGGACAATTGATGTAGGGGAATAGACAACCCAGTGATTTCCTGGTAAGAGCTGCTTGCGTCGCTAGTAGCGATATGTTAGAAGACGACGTCCATGGAAAATGGATACACGTTAGCTTGACTAACCTGCAGCTGCAGTGACATTTAAGGTAGATGGGCATTGCACATATTGCCTGGGCTCAGATATAAACTTGGGTGCTCAGGAATCAAATCTACCGACCATCTGTTCACCGGAGACATCACAACACTTCCGACACCCTATGATGCAGCTGCGTGAATGTCCGATGGGTTCGTTTCCGCTCGCTCGAATACGTCGAACTGCTCAGCAACGCGGAGTGGGATCAAGTGGGATTGTACCGGACGGTGATTCTTGGGTCGTGGACTCTCTCATTGGTTTAGCTGTGCCTCGGGATAAGACGGGCTCGTACTCTCGATCCGTAGCCGAGATGGCCAATGTTAACTTGGTAGTCTAGAAATGACGGGATTTTTGTCTCACCTGCTCCTTGCATGCGGACTTGGACTATAATCTAGCCGTCTACGAAGGTACGGCTCACCTGCCAGCAAGCAAGACGAAACATCAGCCTTTCTTTGTCTGTCGGACTTCGAGGCTTGAAAAGACGTCAGTTGCCAACCGAGGACAATGAGGATCACCCATTGGACGTCAGGAATCCAATCCACAAGGAGGCTATCCTTTCACGGTGTTCGAATGCCGAGAGACAGGTATGAGTCGGGCAGTGGTATGCGATCATTGGAGTTGGGTCTTGCATCAGGTTGACATATTAACGCATGATTTGATGCACATAATCGACGGAGAGAAAAAAGCCGAGGTATCAAATTTGAACCTTGCGGTGGTTCATCACCGATGTCACCAATAGTCATAGTGGAAGGGACAGACAGCTTGCGATCGTCGCGGTTTAGGGGAGCTCGAGCAGACAATATATCTGCTCAGTTCACATATGACTCGTGACAGGACTATGAGTGTCCTGTTGTACGATTCAAGTCAGCAAGGCTTGAACCAGTTGGACATGTTGTAGCTTACCTGTTCATATAGTCCCCAGAGTGTACGCTTGAGACGGGACGATCAATTAGCATCGTGATCATATCAGCTTACCAACTAGATCACTTCCAATTCTCTTCGGCAATGCAGTCACCATTCATGCCATGTTGCATCCAGGTTCGTCGCACTCTCCGGCTGTCGGTTCAGAAAAGTCGCGCCGGTGCACCGAACAGTTTACTGAGACGGGAAAGGCGCGTGACGAACTCACCAGGGACAAGAAATTGTACAGTCGTAATGGGAGAATGCTTCGCGATGCGGACGGCCAGAAGTTGAGGCACTCCGCTGTTCATGGTGTGAAGGCGGTGAGGAGGAGGGCAGAAGACGCGATGGAGCACGCGTCGTAGTGCCCAATCGTTATCTCTGACTAGGTAACTCGCCACAACACTTTTCACGGGTGGCGATGGGTTAGTTCCTATAATGGCATGAAGATGACAGTGGTGTTCGTGTTTTGGGCCACAGAATTGGCCAAAAACCGGATCCGGCGCAGCAGGAGGCGCGATACCCCCTCACCTTACCATGAGGATGGGACGTCTCAAGCCTCAAGCTTCTGCGCAACGAATTTTGCAATTAGAAGTCCGCACCCTGTTGTTGGCCCGCTGCCTTGATTCGCAATATTTCACCTAGGACATGCTGCATAGCCTGAAGCGACGGGACCAGAAATGGTGTGTAGGCCATGGCTTTGTGCGAAGCACTGACGGTACTGCTGGATCCTCGGAGGCCACTCTGGTGGGCTCTCAATAGTTCACTGGCAATCATTAGCTAGTAGACGGGATCGACATTTCATGACTCACATATTCCGGTGGTCAAGACCAGGGACGAAGAGACGGCAAAGAGCTGTGATCCTTGCGCTCATGTATATGGTCGGAACGCACGGTTCTGATTGTTTCGCATCATCTTTGAAGTCAGTCCATTTTCTGACAGGATCGGGCTGAGATTCACACACCTGCATGAAAAGTCGCTCTTTGGCATCGGGAAAACATCCACGGGCGCGATAGTAGATCCACTCAGTCGGCTGCTAGAGAATTTTCGCTTAGAAAATACGCTTTGATTGGCTAACCCAAATCTCGTCTCTTTGATCGGCTAGCATGGGTGGAACAGTAGATCTGCTGGGATTCACGTTTCTCACAGGCACTGTCTGACTTGCTGGTCCACGATGTGTTCTATAAATGTCAGTACGGTGGAAATTTCAGTACTTGATCAAAGGGGAGAAATTATCAAGTGCCTCAAGACACACGGGCTGCTTGACTTTGCGTGGTCCAGTGAATCAATTGTAGAGCAAATTGCCGGGGTAGAGGACGTATTTATAGACTTCTCGGCTTCTGTCAATTACAAGCTTGGTAGGAAGCGTTGAAGGACACCTATCCTAATTGAGGCCTGTTGAAACCCATGTCTTCTTTCTAGGGCAACTATTTGCAGCGAAATTTTGATGCCTCTTAAATTGAGGCTTTGTGGATATTTCTTGTTCTGATCACCTCATCTGTGAGTGACTCGCCGTTGAATCACCGAAAAGCGCCTACAATTTCATCCCTAGAAATCATGGACTTTTCCCCTAGCCTCGCTTTAGTGTTGTGTTGGTTGTGTTGCGCTGTGTGTCTGTCCGTCTAGACTGCGGAAAGCGAGCCCCGTCAGCCCGTTGAAGCTTGGCCATACGTTGACTCAATTTTTGAACTTGTGACCATCACGATACATTGAGTGTCTGGTTGAAATATATATCTCCTCGAAGAGCGTTCATTACCAGTGAGCTGCTGCACGTTGACAGAAAGCTCCACATCACACTGTACCTGCTCATGGCACCAAATGACACCAACAATACATCTGTGAATGCCACAGCATCTACATACGCATTGTATCTTCCCAACTGATTATACGAGCAATAGAAAAAGGCTTTGAGTTGACGAGTCAGATAGAATGAGATCTGTAAAAGCCGAACTCACTCATTATGCTGTGACCAATGCAGCGATGCTTTTACCACGATCATACAGGCTTTCAACGACTGTTGATGGCTGGCCAAATGGTCTCGGATCCGAAAAGTTCATGGACGTGAATACTTGGGTTCTGATCCTCAAAACTGTGAGGCTTGATTAATTCCCCCAACCTACTCGTTGATCACTATCACTATTGTCAACTAAACTGCCAACAGCCTGCTAAAAACTAAACAAATTCTAGTCAAAAACTGACTGCACCAATTGACTGCTGTGGTGATCGCAAAACTCAGTAAGTTACTCTATTGGCAAATTGGGCCATGTCAGTAGCTGTTTCTCTACTTCAGCCGGCTAATGCTCTCAAAACGATCGGTAAGATCTCGCTGGTTCAGGCCCTTTATCAATACGACAACAGGGGTACTGTTTGTTTTTATCCATCTGTGCGCGCGCTGTTCTCCGAGTAAAATATTCTAAAATTTAAAGCGATGATCGCGCCTTGGAAGACGGGATTTCCATAACTGGATTGGTAAATCTGATGGACCTTCGTGCCATCTTGGCCCTGGGAGTCCTCTTGCTCCCAGAGGCTTTGATATGGCTTCTGGGAGCCTATAAGCCGCCTTTTGGGGTCATATAACTCTCCGGAAGCCCGACGTAGCTTCTAGAGCCTTTTTTCCCACCTCGGGGAACCAAAGTAAGTTCCTGTTGACGGCTTATTTTATTCCTGGAGGCGTAATTTCGGTTCCTGAGGCTATGGCTTGGCCTTCTGGGAGTGATCGAATAACTCAGGTTTGTGCGCAGGTCTGGTGAAGGTGTCTAGGGAGGATATTGCTCATCCCTCGGAGGCAAAAAGTTGACTCTAGGACCCAGAAGTAGGGTCGCAGGAGTGCAACAGCTCCCAGATCCAGCCGATGTGTTCCCAAAGCCATTTCGTATCATTTCCATTTCTCCGTGGTAGGGGGTAGATGCGGTTGAGAAAATAGTTGCTGATAACATCCTCAGGATCTCTTCAATAATATGATCACAGAAAAATACTGCATCTTGTACTGCCACGTTGCCGGGATCTCTGCACGAATATTTTCGGTGCAGCGTATCGAAGTCCAACCACTTGTGATGGATCTTCAATGTATCTCGATTTGAATCGAAAGAGAAATCGACATCGCTAATGTCGTTTTGCACAAAGTATATAGTCATGTGCCCCGTCTGTTTGAACATGGCTATACATGCGCGCAGAGCTCTCCGTATCGCCCTTGCGAACGTCGATTCTGGCGGGGCGCATAACTCCGCATCCCTGAACACCTCAATCTGCTTTTCTTCTGCCGTTCTTATTGCTGACCTTGGACGTAGCACAACCCAAAGCATTCGAGGGAGCATTGCGGGTTTCCTTTTCAAGATTTTGGAGATCATGGCAATACCCTGTACGATGTCAGCCCACCACAACCCCTACTCTAGCAATCTTTACCACCACCCTTGGCATGGTATTTCTCGCTATAGTAGAGTATCTTATTATCGGCTTCACTCAGAGGACGCTTCCATATAATATTCCTCGTGGAATCTCCCAATAGCTGGTCGGCCGACTCAACATCGGCTGCTTGGGGAAGTTTCGGAGGATATTGATGTAGATCGGGAGCATGGTCGTCTGGTGCTTTCGAATGGCAGACTCCCATATGCGCCGCACAATGTCGGCTTCTTCATGCTTGTCAAGCAGTCTCGTCTGTCCCAACTAAATTTTCCATTGCGAAATTGTAACCAAACAACGTCCTGGACCTGGAAGCAGACTCAGGAAGAAGCGTTCCCTTGAGGTAGTAGACCTTTCCCAGGAATCCTCGGTCCGGAATTAGATCTCCGTTCCGGTTTCGATAATGTGTGAGGGAAAAGAGTGACTGCGGATATCCAATGTTGCTTCCATCCAGTTCATAAAATCATCAAGCCAACTGGCTGTGCCTTTTTGTCGCGCATTGTCCAGATCTCAACGGTGACGTCCCTCTCAATGCGAGGACGCAACCGAGACACATCGTCGGCTGCATCTGTCTGGAGGCGCTCATTAGCTTTCTTCGACGGACATATCACGCAACAGAAACGTGACCCGCATGGTCCCTGCACAGAAAACCTCCAGTTACAGTTGCTTGTAGCGATCTTCACCTTGTAACCATTTCAGGACATCACCAAAGCTACCATTTCCCCATGACACCCTGCAAGTTTCTTTTTGCCTTGTTTGGACGTGTGCCCAAGCTGCAAAGCTTCATGCTGAAACTGAGCACAAGAGTTCGCCAATGTGACTCGACCTGACTTCTTCTCGTATTTGATATAACCCAGGGCCCGACGGGGCTGATGCGAGCCCTTAGGGTGTGGTATGACGATCAATATGCAGCCACTTTTGTCTTCGTAGTATAGCTGAAGATCGAGGCGGCCTAGTTCAAAATGTTCGAAGATGGCGTCCTTCCTATCTTACAGTACTGTATGTCCAATACGATTCTGGACTATTCGTGGACGTTGTCCATAAATGTGTGCGGGAGAGCGTGTTCGACGCAGCAAAATAAGGTCAGATTAATCAAGCATCCACCGAATCCAGTCTTCAAGGCCCCAGGCCTCACCTTGACTCTGGTTCCCTGACGTTCCTGCTCCAAGCCACGCCACATCGTGGCGTCGAGGAGCACATAAGCTGGCACTTGGGTTCCTGCAATATTGGTCGAAACTCGGACTGCTAATGGTGGCGTTACTCTACAACATCACTGTACTACTGTGTGAGTTTGGGCTCGGGGAAGGTTTCTAGATGCCGACTGCCAATCGTTAGATTTCCTTTCCCGTGTTTGACGCCGCATGTAAGTCCCCATCTGTCCGCGGAGAAAATTTCGCTGATCATTCTAGATTACATCCGCGCCCTCGTGCAGGATGACAAGGCAAGTCTAATGCAGGGAGGATGTTCAATGAGACGTCTCGCAGGAGTATTGACGGCGAAGACACCTTTGTTGCGTGGGTGACGAGCCATCAAGAGCCACGGAGTGCAGGGGCGGAAGGACTTTCTCCCGAAATCAAAACAAGTCTCCGTACGACTTTCATAGTTTCTTTCGCGGCTAGCGCCACGACCTCGCATGGCTTGAGGGGTCCAACCACCCTTGATTGACCCACGTTTTGGTTGGAAAGTTACAGAAATTAATCGGGGGAATGTAACAGGGGTATTGACAGCACATGCTGGAACTAACTAGTCGATTTGAGAGGGAAGACAAAAGCTTAAGTTTAATTAAACGTTAAAAACGCGGCCAGTCCTTGGCGGTGGAGCATCAGGTCGTGGATTTCTCGAACAATAAGAAAAGTATAAGGCCTAGTTGTTGATCCTCCTGTGAAGTCAGTTCTCCAGACTGGCTCTCTTCAAGTCTCTCTCTCTACGGCACTTGCTTCCCTGTCGCCATGCGGTGGTCTCAATCGCTGCTCTGGCTGTGTGCCGCGTCCACAGTGGCCGCTCAGTCCACTGAGGGCATTTACAATCTCGTCCAGCGTCGACTGCCGAACCATGCTGACAGCTTTCGTTTCACACTAGTAAATGCTACCCAAATTGCGAACAGCTACGACCAGTATGTCGTGAGCACCGCTGCCAATGGCACAGTTCTTGTGCAGGGTAGCTCACTCAGTGCGTTGTCTTCAGGGTATTCATAACCCCTTGTCGTCATCATTATTCCTATCCATGCTGATCTGAATCAATAGTCTCCATCGCTATCTCACCGCTGTTGCCCACGTCGATATCTACTGGTACATTGGCAGTCACCTGGACCTTGCGCCCGCCAAGCTGCCGCAACTTGCTAGTCCCATCAGTGGCTCTAGCACTGTGCCGTGGCGTTATCACTTCAACACTGGTTGGATTCCCACGGCAACTGTGCCGCATTGTTCTCTAGCTAACATTCGCTAGTAACATTCTCCTACACTGCTGCTTTCTGGTCATGGGAAGACTGGGAGTTGCAACTAGACTGGCTTGCCCTCCGCGGCGTGAACCTGCCACTCGCCTGGGTGGGCTTCGAGAAAATCATGGTTGAGGTCTTTCGCGAAATCGGTCTCACGGACGCGGAGATTGCAACTTTCCTTAGTGGGCCGGCGTTCCAGGCATGGAACCGATT